TGTGTCCATTTTACCATCTTGGCTGTAAATATGCTTTAATATGTGCTAATGTACTAGTATATGCTAAAAATTAGAATATAAACAAAAATCCAGCTATATCCAGCTAAAATATAGTCGCTTTTCTCACATCTCTTGCAGGAAACGTTTCCTCAAAAACAGTTTTTTTGTAAAATGTCTCTCGACATTCAACATTTTAAGAAGCTGAAGTCGCTTCTCATTCACCAGCTTCTTGTTCGAAATTTCACATTCCACCTTAAATGGTGCCTGAGGCGCCAGACTATAACTGCTACACCATTTAAGGTGGAACAGAAAAATTTGAACAAGAAGCTGGCGAATGAGAAGCTGACTTCAGCTGACTTTTAGTGTTTGACAGGTTCTCGATGCAGATTAAACATATCAGGAAACCAGTTGGAGTGATTATAAATGCAAATAAGTCCATTTGTCTTCAAATTATCGATGTTCGTCTTAAATCTTTCTCTTTGCCGTTTTGTTAGCTACTAGCTAGGCGAGACTGTTGTCTGCATTGCTATAGCGACCAGCAGTCCGCGCGCCAACCTTCAGGGTTTAAGGGTGAATTAGCAATTATACACAGTTATACAACTCAAGCGTTTAAGACTATTTATGGTTAAAACTCTGTTGGAATGATCAGCAGAGCTTTGTTTTATTGCAAAGGATGATTATTTTATTTTTTTCTAAAAATCTAATTTTGGAGCTAAAGCCGTCAAAAAGCCGCATGCAGCTCCAGAGCCGACCCCTGATCTAGATGCGTGTTTAAAGATAATGGAGAGTAACAAAGCTACTTTAGGCTACTTTTATCATTAATGTTCATGACTGTTCGCTGAATTATTCTCCATTTGGCATTGATGCATCTATTGGTACTGAGTTATAGTCATTTGCAAAAGTTTGAACACCCCCAGTTGTATTACATGTTTGTTAATTTTCCAAGTGAAAATAAGTTAACACATCCTTTACAGGGAACATATCACTTTTCTGCAAATTTTAGTGCACAATTTTTATTGATTTGCTGATTTTAACAAATTAGAAGAAAAACATCTAAAATATAAAATGTGCCAAAACCTTTGCACAGGCCACATTTTGTGTCTTTTACCCCAATATGTTAAATTCAGCTAATAACCAGTGATTGTGCATTAAAATGTGCACAAATGTGCACTTAAACATTTGCACATGACTGCATGTGCACACATGATTTAAACCAAATTAAACCCCATTCTTACTTGCTAACTTATAAATAGTCCCAAAAATGCATGCACATGTACAAACCACGCAATGCAACTCACACTTCTTTTGAGCAACATGTTCAGCTGAAAGAGCCGAATCCCAAGAAGCTCACAATGTCATTGTTTTTTTGGGGTTTTTTTTCGTCCTTGTCGTCATTTTTAATACCTTAAGTGAAAAAGCAAATAGGATTTGAAGCCCTGCGAACATGAATGCTCTCCGGGACTTTGCTTTGTCACTTTACGTTAGCCACACTCAAATGGATTTCCTCTAACATATAACAGTGCTGAGCTGCACGTTGTATACCTCCATGGAGTCACTTGATTATTTCACTGCTCTGTAACACAGAAAAGCAGTGTTCACTACTCTATACGTGCTGTACCGGTTAGATCCAAAACTGCTGAATGCAATTCAGTTTCAGGTGGTGATAAATACACTGCCTGTCAAAATTTTAGAGACACCAAGCCCTTCCAAACAGTTTTAATACAAATGTTGCTTTTCTTTTGCACAATTTCTGCGAATATTCAGTCACTGAAATATAAGCAAACTCATTCCGAGCAGTTTGACTGTGAAGCAGTTCACTGTAGAGACATTTACTGACTCTATCTGCAACACAAGCATAGTCATTTCACTTGTTACCAAAAATGACCACTGAACCTACACGTTTTATGATCTTTTTTGTTTGTATGTAATGTTGATTGTAAAATAGTAGTAAATCTGAAAGAACTATTAAACTACAAAAACTATCTACAAATAGTTGGTTCTTCCAGGGTTCCTTAGTAAACCATCTCATGGTTAAATGGTTCTTTGCATGGTGAAATTGTTCTTCAGATAGTTGGAGAATGTGTTGTGTATGTTTTGAAAAAAGTTCTATATAGCACCCAAAAGGGTTCTGCTATTGTTATAATCTCAAGCTTGTAACGATGGAAGAACCCTTTTTGGTGCTGTATAGAACCATTTTTTTTAAAAAGGTTCTATATAGAACACATTCTCCATCAATCTGAACAACAACTTTATGTGATCATGGAATTCCCCTTTCATATATTTTCATATATTTTTTTTTAAGGGAAAGCAATATCACCCCATTTTATCCCCTTGTTATGTTTGTAAACGCTCAAGCCTTTCAGGAGTTTAAAGCAGCTTTGGGCCAAAAGAGTTTAACAATAGTTTGGAAAAGAAATCATTGAGTGCGTTTACATGCACCGATAACTGCAGAAAGTCTGATTTTTTCAGTAATCTGATCAATGTGTTTATACGCACTTGAGTAATCAGGTAATGGGGAAACTTCAGGTCTGCATGAGTCAGACAGTAATCAGATTTATGCTTTGCAACTGGCCAATAAAATCACAGAAGAAGACATGACGTAAACGTGAACAATAATAGTGAAAATCTGGCAGAGAACTCCATCAATCTGGAGAACTCTTTCATGATCCAAAGAACCCTTTAATCATGCAAGGGTTCTTTGAGTGTTCATGGTTCCATATAGAACCATTTTCTTTACTAAAGAACCCTTGAAGCACCATCTTTTTTAAGAGTGTAGGTTTTACTAACATCTGAGTGACAAATTACTCCAAATCAAAAACCGCCAAATTGAGTCTCGGCCTAGGAAAGGAGTATTTTGTCCATTGGTCTTTCTCTTGAATGTCGTTTTCATGGCAGTGGAGAATCAGAAATCCCACACTCATCAATCAGCTGTCCACAATCTCAGATTGCTTCCTGTAAATAGGATCTTAGACACTGTTGGGGACATTTGACCTTATTAAAGTTTGGCCTTATTGATCTCTAGTCACCCCAGGCTTTCTTTTAGAAGGTACCCAGAAATGGTTGGATATTGCTTGTAATATACCAGTCTGGGGAAGTCCACCTGAGTGCTGGAGAGTTTTAGCTCCTGCAGAAACTCTGATGCTGATATATTCCTTAAAGGGCCCATATTCTACATTTTTAAACGCATTTTAAATTTTTTCCAACTGAGGTCCTTATTTGCACCAAAAACAGTAATAATTTATTTTTACATGATAATAAAGAATGAAACAGGATGTTTTTGTTACTGTGCTTTTAAGAACTTTTAAGCTTTTAAGTGCCTGACTTCTACGATACGGTGGTGAATTTTTAGACGTTATAATTAGCCGTTTTAAGCACACAACTAAAAATCTGTCAAAATTAGAATTGTGTCAAATAGAGAGTAATACTTTCACTATAGCATTAAATCAGACTTGTAAGATCAATTATATCTTGATTCTCTCTTACATGTGATACACCACAGGATTCAGTGCTTTAACTGATATTGTTATTGTAGTTATTAGCTACGCTCTGTCAATATTAGCCTTCAATTACTTCTAACATTTCAGATACTGACATTAATGAGTTGAGAAATCTAAAAAAAACTACCTCAGATCTCTCAAAAAAACTCACCTCCTTAGTCACTAAACGTACCAAAGATAATCTGTAGGGCCCTTATCAAGGAAAGCAAACTTAAAAAAAAATAATAATAATAATAATAATAATCATAATAATAATAGGGCTTGATAATGTACATAAACACTGTTTAAAAAAAACATATGAGTTCATACAGTGCATATATGAAAAGTAAGCTGCCAATGTTGAATTAATTATTTTTGTAATGTCACAGGAACCGATGCATTTACTTACAAAGGCATTTATATACATCAATTCGGCCTATAGCATTTTAGCCCTGTCCATTCACGCTGAAGTTAAACTATGCACGATTTTTACATAGTTAAATGGTTTATGTAAACAAAGTCATTCAGAGAGGTTTGGTGTGAAAAACTCTGTTCTAGAGACATTTACAGAGTCAGAATTGTTCACAGTGGTGGTGATAGGAACCAGACGTCCACCTGTAAAAGCTCCCTCAGAGAAAGTTATTACTTTATATGATTATGAAGATGCTGCCGCTGTCTAAGATCTTGTTTTACAATAGGTTTGTGATGATGTTCTGATCTGAAACACATTTTAATCAACTTATTTTAATCCATTTATGGTGGAGGGATACATGAACGGTGTTCTTGGGGCACAATATTCCCCCAAAGTAAACTTATTTTTTCAGATTTATGACCACCATCATCTACATATAAAAACATAAAGACACATGTCGGTTCACTGGTGGTTGCAAATAAAATGGCTATATTTGTGTTGTAGTCATGGCGACCCCTGGTTCCTTTCACCACCACTGTAAAGAACTCTGAGTCTGTACGTTTCTCTACAATGAATCATTTCAAATCAAACTACACTGAGTGCCTTTGTTTACATCTGAATGACTGAATTATACAGGAATTTTGAAAAATCGGTGGAGTTCCCCTTTAATAAGGACCGTTTCGGTGGCTTTTTGAATGAGACGCGAACAGGTCAGCGAATCAGAACAGAGGTCATTTGCATATATCAGTCTTAAAGGCACAGCACCAAAAACAGCCTGGTAAGGACAGTTGGAAAATGGTCTGGTTAAACGGAATTTTGGTACATAAAAGCCACACAAACGGGGGTCTAAAAGGAAAAAATACAAGAAAATGCAGATGTTCCCTTTAACATTTATATATGCACTTTAATGGGTTGAAAATATTAGTCTCAAACATGTAAAAAATCAAGCGCCTAGTCGTTTCACTCAAACCCAGCCAGCTCGTTTACAATCTGATTTCAGACAAACCTGCAAACCTACACGAGCGCCTGAGTGGGCGGAGTGAGGGAGAAACCCCCGCCTCTTCGCCCCTCAGAGGGGCCGAGTGACTTCACGGTATATTCAAAGCCCAGCTGCCTCGGTTAGCATTAGCCTGCTGGCGGAGGAGCTGAAAAGCTGAGGAATTACTCTGTAAGAAAAAAACTCACAGTTTATCAGAATAAGCTCCGGTGCGTTGGCGAGCGCAGGACGGGGCTCTGCTCGTGTAAACCACGTCATGTGACTGTCCTGATTTTGCAGCGTTTAGTTTCTTTTTTCTTTTTTTGTCTCCTTTAATTTGGTTTTCTTCGTCATATACAGTCAAAGTAGGACTTGTAATCGAGCAGTCAAGCGCTCCCTGACTTTCTGTGAACGGTGGATTTGCTCTCTGGTGGAAAAAGAAAGTGCTGCAGAAAAAAAAAAGCCAACGGAGTTAAGGCAGTGAAATTGAAAGAAGGCTACCTCAAGAAAACCACGGTGACGGTCACGGCACTGTCGACACGTTTTTACTCGTCGCTGGATGTTTTATCTCGCAGAGAGGACACGCAGAAGGGATGTTTATCAAGTTTGAGGAACGGTTAGTCCATTTTTTTCCATCTCCTGAAAACGTCGTGAATGTTGTGAGAAGGAAACGTCTTTGACTTGTGTTAGCCCTCCAGATTTACGTTCCACTCTTGGCTCGACTAGTCCAGACTGAAGACTCAGTGAAAGTGCTCGGTTTTTCGTAGCTTTAGACGGAGGAGAGAAAACTGAAGGAGAGGAGGGCGAGTTGAGGTTGTTTCGCCTCCCCTCAGTCGGATACACGAGCTGTGTTAGCAGCGGTAGTGTCGGGCAGGGAGGTGTGAAAGAAAGCGACAACAGCGTCTTAGCCCGACAGACATAAATATAGAAACTGTTCTAGCTAAAATGTGAGTCCGGACGATATGGGGGGGATGAGGTAAGAAGCTGAGTTACTACACCGGGCTTGTGCTTTACTCTTGTGGCCAGCGTGGTATCTGTTGTCTTTATTTAGCTTTCAAGCCAGCTGTCTCTCTCTCTGCTCGATGTCTGTCCGCTAGCGAAGCTAGCTAGCACCGCAAAGCTCAGCCCAGGTTCACGAACAGAACAGGTGTTACGTTAGCACGTTAGCTAGCTTGACGAGCCGACGACGCGGTTTTAAAACCGCCGTTTGGAAGATTGTTGTCGTCTGTTTTGAACCGTGTCATTGTAGGGTACACACACTATTCTGCTAGTGTCCCTGTGGCGAGGCTGAATTTGGGTTCGAATTTTCCGTTCCACCTTAAACGGTGCAGCAGTTGCGCCTGTATTTAAGGTGGAACGGAGGACAACTTCAGTCTCGCGTGCTGAAATTAACGTTAGCTGGCTATGAGGTGTAATCATGTCTCGTCTATACGTTAACCTAGCTAGCCGTGTGGGCGACCCGGGTTGAGGTCAATCGCCCGGTAATGTCAGTTATCTAGCCGAGTTATGAGATTTGAAATCAGTGAAACGGTTTGAAATAACAACGTCGGCCAAGCTCGAGCAAACGGCGTTCAAACGGCTGGGTGAGTTATTAACGTTATAAAGTTGATTTTCTCGTCAGGTTAGCTACTTTTAGTCAGCAGTGTAGCGTTAGCAAGGTTAGTCAACGTACTGTTGGCTAACTTGGTCGTCTCCTCGCTGTCCAGAAACATTCCTTGATACGCTTCGTGTGTTGTTTTTTCCTCTTTTTGTTTCTCTTCTGCGTCGGTGTAACGTTAAATGCGTTCAAATGCGCCCGCTTGAGACTTCTAACCTAGGTTAGCGTTTCCAGCCTGCGTGGTAGCGCCCTTTCCCGTTTTTGGCTTGACATTTAGATATTTTACGGTCGGAGCAGTGGCCTGTGAGACGAGTATGTCAGTGTCAGTGAGAGGAGGAACAGCATAATCGGGGGCTACTTAGTCCAAACTGATCGGAGAGCCCAGCCTTAACGTCCGTAAGCTATGTGACAACGGCTCCAATTCAAATCGTAAGTGAGAGTTACCACAGTAGTCCGTAGTGTTGACGCGGACGGAGCGGTTTGTTTGCTTATTATTGTTATTATTGTTGTTTTCAGTGTTTATCATGTTTATCACGTCCGGCTCTCCATGGAGACGTTTTTAAAACCCCTTTTCTTGTGAGGCGAGGCAGCAGCAGCCTCTTCCGAGTAAACGGGTGTCCTTAAATCTGCTAGCTAAATGTCACCGCGCTGATTTAGTTGTTGCTGGCAAGTTGGCGGAAGGTTGGTGCTTTCAGCGCTGTCCTCTTGTATGAATGACTTGAATTATTCGCTGTGAACTCGTTAGCCTTCATTTTTTTTCGTGTGGGAGCGAACAAGCCTTGGGGAGACTGAAGAACGCATCGGGAACAAGTGTTTTAATCAGATAGGCCGACGTTTTTGAGATGCTAATGCAGATCCGCGCGTCTTCAGCTCTTCCTATGTTCTTCGCTTGCTTTGCATTTGTTCGGATTAACAAAAGTGAAAGTCTCTGTTTTGAATGTACGAGTGTTGTCTGTCACTTAACATCTTCGACCTGCTAGGCCCAGATGTGTTAATTACAGTAAAAAGAAATACTCTGAGTAAGATCACCTCTTAATCTTATTTACTTTTCCCGTAGGTGGTTAAGTTCAACTCTCAGTGATTTCAGATTGAGCATTTTTCTCCTGTGTCTCAAATCTTCTGTGAAACAACCTTGGATTTTCTAAATATTATATAATTACACGTTATGTTAACTGTTGTAGGTATAATACTATCTGTTAGCTTCTCGGATTGGAAGTAAGCCTGATCCTGGCCTACACAGCATTTTCAATAGAGATTCCCATTGAAAACAACAAATATAGTGCAAGAATATATCCCTGATTAAATCCCTGTCTGGGAACCCGACCCTTTATGCTATAAAACATACAACTCTCTGCTACATCTCAGAAATCTTTCATCAGTTCATCGGGTTAGAAGAAGACGCTCTTACAAAACATCCTCCAATTGCTTTTAATAATCTCCTCTTTTCTTCTAATTTAGGAGAAAGAATCCTGAAATCTCTGATCCTTCATTTGTACAGTATTGAAATCTGCTTTATTTCACTTGAGACAAAGTAAAGCTCTTAAGAAAGACATTTTTCCAATGTAATGGATACTGTAACTGGAGGAAGAAACCATTGAGAAGAGCAGCATCTATTGTTTTATGCCACTGCCTGTAGGCGACGTTGGCCTGGCCTGCATGTTACTGTGCAGTGGTTCTGTCTTGGCATGTAGGCTGCTCTATGTTGGCATGCACACGGGCTATTTTCTGCCAACTCCCTCTTCCCCCTCAGGGGAAAAACTAGAGGAGGTGGGATAAAATTAGAAGACAGGCATAAGTTTCCTAATGTCTTCTTCTTTTCTCCCTCCTGCGCTCAGGTCTATGACGCCACTCCAGATTGTGTTTCACATATTGAACATGCTTTCTCAGTTGCTTAAAATGCCCTGCACAGGTTGTATTCTTTGGCATGGGCTGCTTCATGCACCAACACCCCAACAAGCTGTTAAAGGTAGTGAATGAGCCTAATTTGCCTCTGGTGTCCTCAGTATAATTACAACGGTGGGGGTGTGTGTGTGTTGGGGGGGGATATATTGTTGTAGCTCTTGAAACTGTCGCCTTGCAAGGCTGTTTTGGTGTATTGTATTGTAGTATATATTTAGTGATATTGATTGTTTTTGTCCTGAGAGCCACCGTCTTCTCTCTGTAATTGCATGCTCGTTCATGGTTTTCCCTTTTTATTTCTATTAGCTCTGTGATGCATTTGGCATCTAGCACCAAATTATGAATCAGCCCAGTTGTGTGAAATGATACCATATAGTATCAACAGTAAGATATAGCCTGCTGTTAATTTCTTAATTCCCTCACGTTATGTGAGAAATTCAGTGATTCAGCGAAAATTGATATGCATGCACTTTTTCCCCTTGTGATGTGTAGCCTCTTTCCATTCAGCTCTGATAGTGACACACCGTTCGACTAGCACACAGCTTGAGGCAATGCAAGGGAACGGATAGGCTAAAGACGATCATTATTTGCAGCTGCATCATCACACTGTATTTATTATGCCACAGTGTGGTTTGTAAGAGTTTGGGCTGTCAGTTTTTCTCGTTTTGGCCAGGAACTCCACCACACTGGATTTGAAATTAAACAGTGGCTGTGAGCTGAAAGTGCAGCTTTAATTAATGGATATTTAGGTCTGTATTAGGTGGAGCGTATAGGAATCGTGAGCCTTGTATACCTAGACCTCCCATTTTCAGACGTTACTAGTTAGACAGAATAACAATTGTAAATAAATTTTATTTTTGGTTGAAGTTTGTTTTATAGTCAGCGCCTACCAGAAGTCTGTGGCATATAGACATCACCAAGTGCTGGATGTCTTTCCTGGTGCTTCTAATGCAGCCATTTTCTGTTCCTGCTTGTTGAAGGGGGCCTTGCCTTTTTGTTTTGTGTTCAGTAACTGTACTGCTGCTCAGTAAAGGTGTAATAATTAAAATACAGTATTGGAAAAATTTAAAAGCTTGAAATTCAAAACTGTATGCATCCCTTGTATGCAAGGTCTCTGATTTACTGTCTTTCATAGGAACCAGTCAGTGATCAAACTAGGCATCTGCTTCTGTCCTGTCAATATTCATATAGTGTTTAAACAATATCAGATGCTTTGTTTTATAAGATCACCATTTTGCACGGACATGCGACCTAGCAATCTTTAGTTGTGAAAAGTTCATATTTTTCAGAGCCCAACCAAACGGTGGAGTGTGTGTGTGTGTGTGTGTGTGTGTGTGTGTGTGTGTGTGTGTGTGTGTGTGGCAACATTTTTACACAAAATATCAAAACCATTTACTGCTCAGTGTGTTCAGGTCATGTGACTGAATTCACCAGGTCAGGCCATTCCACTTTGGTCCTGAAAACTCCTTTGTTGCCTTAGTAGTAGTTTTGTGGCATTGTCCTGCTGCAAGATGAAGTACCATCCACTGATTGGTTGAGGCAGTTTGTTGGGCCTAAGCAGTGAGGATACTTCAGGATTTATCATACTGCTACCATCAGCGATCACGTCATCAGTAAAGGCATGTCCAGTTTCACTGCCTATGCCACTGTGTTTCAGATGAAGTGGTTTGCTTTGAGTCAGCCTTTTCTTTCCCTTCTTCCTTCATGCTTTCTTCATTCCATCACTCTGGCCTTCCCTTTTTCTCTTTGAGTCTTATCAGTGGTTCGCATTTTGTGGTGAACCTTATGTTCTTGCTGTTGTGTTTGTTTCTAAATGGTAATCTTTGACTCATGTTTTTGAGGTTTTCCTTTTAAGTCCTTTTAAGAGTGATGTCATTTTTGCTCATCCATAACTGTTTTCTTCTTGGTTGTTTGCCATTGCTAAGTTTTCCCACTTAATGGGTCGAACAGATAACTGTAGACACAGTCAGATTAGTGTTTGTGTATTGGCACGTCTAGAATCAACTTCAGCTTTTGTTAGCTTTGTTGTGTATAAAATAATGATACAGCAGAGCTGGCTAAAAATTAACTGAGTGTTCATTTAGTTGTGGTTCCCCAAACAGGAAGATGTTGAGTTAAAT